GCGGGCCACAGCAGCAGTGGAACGGTGGTTCCGAGTAGTGAAATAGGGAGTGGGACGAAAACATCATTGGTAGGTGAGAGGATGTGATATCAGCTAATAAGATCTGATAATGGGCATTAGAAGGGAAGGACCACCAAGGAGCAGTGGGTCCTTGGATCCGAGAGGTGATATAGGGTTGGGGGAAACACTATTGGCGGGTGACAGAAAGTGATAACCGCTGATAAGATCCGATAAGGGGCTTCGGAAGGGGAGGGGTCATCAAATTCGTGGCGCACGTTACAGCAAATAAGTGGCGACTCAGATCCGTAAGATGATGAAGGGTGTGGGACGGAAACATTATTGGCGGGAGACAGAAAATGTTAACAGTTGATAAGAAAGGGTAAGTGGCCTCGGAAGGGGAGGGTCATCAGATTCGTAAGCGCAGGTTACAGCAAGAGTGGGACCTCGGATCCGATATAGGGTGATATGATAGTGAAACGGGACCGGAATATTATTGGCGGGTACGGAAGTGATAGGAGCTAAAAGTGAAAAGATAACATGGGAAAATCCGCTTCACCGCTCACAACAACAATGCGATCGATATTGACTCAAAGTTATAACTGATCTCAATTGATCTCCAACAGGGGGGGGGGAAAAACTTTCATTCCTCACTGCTCATTCGTAACGACATCGTGTACGACCGGTAAGCCAGCTCTATTCCAAATGCATGTGGTTTGTTTTGTTTACAGAGATGTTATGAACAGCAGCAACTGACTTTATCACTCTTACCACAATTATGTTCCATCAACAACTTTAGTGAGGCCCATTTAAAGGGTTCCACTGCTAAATGGGGGAGTGCATTCCTAAGCAAGACGCTTTAGGAAGACAGATTGCGTAAATTATAGGCTGCTTCAGTGGCTGTCCTAACAGGCCACACTATTTCCCTGTAGGGTATGAACGTACCAGTCGGATCGTTGGCTAAGGCCGCTCTCCTCCTTCTGTGATGCGGGGGGGGGCCTGCAATGAATGGCTGGCAGATGCGACAATATTTAGGCCAGAGTTCATTGAATTCAAGTCATGCTTCTGCGTCTTGATCGGAACAGAGCCGCTGCTTTCAGTTCTTGGCTGATGCAGAAGATTCCTTTGAACAGTGTGGTTGGTCAACGATCCTTAACTTAGCACGCGGCAAATCCGCATGGCCCGGCGAAGCCGGGCCATGTCACAGAAGGAGGAGCGCCCGGCGACAGCCGGGCGATCCGACTGGTATGTATTAATCAAGTAAAAAGGCGAACAGTCCAAGTGGCGGCATGTACCAAACAAGTGACTTGAATCTCATATCTAACCTACCCCTCGGCCCTGCCTGATCCTACTGTATTTCGGCAGAACCTATTAGTTAATTCTTGCAGCGTTTACCAGTTCTGCTGCAGCATAAACATTACCATAACGCTAGGCTGCCAACATAGGAAATACAATAAAAAGAACAAAAATGAAAGCGAGACCCGCCCCACTCCCCTCCCCTCAAAGCCCCAGCATTTGAAAAGCAGAAAGTATAAAAAACAACAGGATTAGAAATAATATACACAAAACTTTAATTTTAAGGGGGTCGATTCTTTGCACAAAGAAGACGGACTATTGCCGGGTCGTGAATTCAAAAGAGAAACGTATATAAGTAAAATGAGAAAGACCGAAAATGCAGAGTGAAAAAATAAACATTATGGAAAGCGTGAGCAGGCAATCATTTTCCAGCTCAGGTCTTACTGCCAGTACCTGTTGAGCCCTTTTAAATAGTATTTTAACAAGAGCTACAGTATTTCAGACCACAATAGCTACTCTCAGGGCCGCTTACGTGACTGCCTCGTTGGGTCGCCGAAAAGATTCTATAAAAATATCTCATTGACACATTTTATGATAGACGTTGGAGTGGAAAAAAGAGATGGTATGGAGCAAAGCAAAGCAAGGCACTTGACAGTAGCGTTATCAGCAATTGTTGACCGCTTATGAGTTATTATCAGTAATCAGAGCGCCATCGGGTCTAGATTAGCGTTCGTAGGAAAACGCGCAGATTGAATGATTTGGAAGGAACGTTTTTTGGTCGCTATGGAGCAATCCAGCTCTACCCAAGCACTAATGAAGCGAAAGCTCTTAGTTCAAATTCAGCAACTTTCCTTGTCTCTGGTCTCGCCCGAGCAGCAGTGTCTTAACTCTTCGAATACTCGTCTAATACTTCATCATATTATTTGAGCTGAATTCAGCATCAGCATAAATTTTACGTTCTCGGTTTTTGTAGATCTATAAAAGATCTTCTGTTGATAAAGAACTCAAGGATGCTTTTAAAATCCCCCAAGACCAAATATGTCATTTAGGAGATACACCATGGCTCGAATTAAAGGCAGTTGGCACGATAATTTAGTATTTGGCCTAAAATGCTAGCAGGGCGCTATATAGTGGGAAAATGGCGAAAGAACGGAGTGAAACGGTCAAAATCCTGCGAAGAAAAGCCTTCGTTCTTAATGACTTGAAAATCAATTTCGGACGAGTTCCCATAGGCATCTTGCCAATAACCGTTACGGTAGATACGGCTGCATGTGTGTACTCATATATCCATGCAGCATCACGGCCGCTTCATACCAATCCCTTCGCTTCATAATTTGCTTAGCAAATGAATCGATTAGAGCGTCAGGAACGGTCGTCCATTTGTGGGCGGGCGGGCGTGGCGGGCGTTTGGGTCGGAATGTTGTGGCTTGATAGGGCCCTTATAAGGGCACACATATGTTGCCGTATTTACCGTAATGGTTATTGACAAAATGCCTATGGGAACTCGTGCGAAATTGATTTTCAAGTCATTAAAAGCGAAGGCTTGTTCTTCGCAGGATTTTGACCGTTTCACTCCGTTCTTTCGCCATTTTCCCACTATATAGCGCCCTGCTAACTT